AATCACGACAGACGAATGGTGGGTGTCAAAGGAGAGGCGTCTGCCCGGGGCAAGTCCCGGGGACTCTCTTTATTGAATATTACAAACATTGCCACAGGTGTGCTTGTGGCTGATTGGCTGATACAAACACAAAGCATCTTGTTGCTGATTGGTTAACATAGGTACAAGGCGGGCATTACATTTTTACATTAATCAGTGATAGTTCAAAAGACTGGGAGCGGAGCTGGAACTAGACAGGCATGAATCCTCCTAATTAAATTGTAACTAAGATTAATATAACATGACTAAAACAATTACTAATGATTGATCATAAGTGAAAGGTCCGTATATGTGGTCAGCTATGCATTGAGAACAGAGCATGTTGTGAACTCAGAATGAACTGACGTAGGGAGGGATTGTCTTGGGTGTCCTGAGCTTGGTGTGTTTGGAACAGTATGTGCAGAGCAGAAGGAGACTTCCCAGAATCCAAGAGGAAAGAAGCAAGAGTTTTCATAGTAAGCATAGAAAGATTGCATAGTAAGAGTTCCCATAATGCCACAGTTATGTGCAGTAAGAGAACTGCAGAAAGAGAACTTCCCTTCATCTCCCCCTTTCTTTTCTTGTTTGCGAGGCATTCCAGGTGGATAAGGCAAAAATACTTCGGGATTAGTGGTGTGCCAGCGAATGCCCGAAATAAGCCTGCCAGGGTTGGTGGGACAAAAGTACTTCAGGATACGTGGTTTGCCAGCGCATGCCCAAAATAAATCCGCCCACATCTCCCCTAAGGTTCACTGTTGGTGTTGCCATTTCGCAATGTAAGCAGCAAGCAGTTTGCTGGGTGGTGGAGGGGGGGAGAGAAGCCGAGAGAAAAGACTCATGAGGCTGGGAACGCATTGGAGGAAACAGCATAGTAAAATAAAAATGGAAATTATGAAAATAGCATATTGAAAGAGACTACGAAGCCAAGTAAGGTTAGGCAACCAAGCAGTAAGCCACTGGGTGAAAGAATCCCAGAGGCCAGAAAATCCAACGTCCTGTTTAATGTGATGTGTAAGATTTTGCAAATGAGAGATTTGGCTTTGAATGGCTCTAGAGTTGTCAGTAATATTGAAACAGCACATGTCATTCACTTGTTCACAGCCATAATGATGAAGCATCAGCAAGTAATCTATCGCGGCGCGGTTCTGTAAAAGCCCATGCTGGAGTTCACTTTGCTCTTTATTCAGAAGGTGAAGGGCTTGAGAAGTATAGTTCAGCGCTTTGCTGCAGAACAAGCTAGAGAATTAATATTTCTACTATTGCGTACAGCCAATCCAGGAACTCCTAAGAGAGAGACAGCTAAGGAGATATATTCAGATCTACTGGGAAGAGAAATTGAATCATCACAATCATTAGTTAATTCAATAGAGCGGCGATGTCGAGAAGGGGTCAAATGATGCTTTTGGGTAATACAATAGACAAACGGCTTAAACAACAGGGTGTTCCATGGCTGATGTTTGCAGGAATGTAATTAAATGTATAGCCAGGACACGACCAGAACCAACCCGCAGGTAGTTCTGTGTATTTATACAGATAGGAAATATTTACATAATCAGAGCAGTGGAAATTATCAGTGCCCATTTTCACGCAGTTGGCTTTTGTGCAATTCACCATACGGGCGCAAGTGACATTAAAGGAAGCCACGTATGGGGTCGATAAATCAATGGCCAAAGATGGGCGGCGGCGCACTTGGTTACCCCAGACATAATAACCGGAATAACCAAGGGTGCGGAGAGAATCATTTGTGGGTAGGGATGAGAAAAACCAGGTATCATTTTGTATATCAAAAGGGTCATGGCAAACAGGGATAAGGCAGGAGCCAAGAATCTCCCCTATAGATACCTGTTGGGTAAGGCAAAAGGAAGAAATATTGAGTGTCTTTGCAAAGATTCCCACACATTTGTAGGTGCGTGGGTGTCACTAGTAGGAGTGGAAGCAGAAAGAGGCAAAAACAAAGCAATGAGAATGAGCACTGTCATGGAATTAATGTTAAGGCAGGAAATAACACACAGAAGCAAATTCTCAGGGGTTGCTTCAAGCTGCTTTTCCTTTCTAAGCTGTTCAGCCTGACATGAGAGTGATTTTATTTGGCCCCATGTCACAGGTCCATTACGATTTCCCGCTTGCGAGTCCTGGGGGCTGGGCGCTGCGGCCTGGGCGATCCGTAGTGTGTGGTCGAACTGCGGTACTGGATTCGGAAGGGACTGTCGCCATGCCATGGTATAGGCGGATGCAGCGTGCGGGAACCCAGCGAGGACCCTGTGGAGTAGACACTGCAGCGTAACCCTTTCCCCAGGTGATCAGTTTTACAGGTTCACTCCACTCGTTGGAGGGTAATATCTTATAGCGGACCAGTGGGGCTGGGAGTATCTCTGTTTGCTGAAAATGCTTCTGCAGGCGAGTATAAGATTGATGATCCTGTATGGAAACATTCAAATGGTTGAGAGTAAAGAGAACACTGGCCAGCCAGCCTTCCTTTTCGGAAAGGGAGGCTGGGACACCGGCCTTCTTTTCCTGGCGTTGTAGAGCAGTTTTTAAGGTACGATTAGCCCTTTCGACGATGGCTTGGCCTTGAGAATTGTAGGGGATGCCAAATAAATGGTGAATATTCCAAGTTTCACAGAACTGAGCAAAGGTTTTTGCACAGTACGCTGGGGCATTGTCAGTTTTCAGGGAATGAGGCTTGCCCATGACTGACATGGTACGAACAAGATGATTGCAAACATGTTTAACTTGTTCTCCCCTTTGAGGGGTGGCCCAAATAAAGCCAGAGAACGTATCAACACAAACATGTATGAACTTCCAAGGTGAAAAGGGGCGAAGTGAGTGACATCCATTTGCCACAATTGGTTGGATGCCAGCCCACGGGGATTAAATTTGGATTTGGCAGACCACATTGTAAAGGCCCCATGGGTTCAAGGATTTGGTTTATTTTCCTTAAATCCTGGAGAAATCTCCATTTGCCACTCTTCTTTTTATGACGAAGATGGGTGTATTATAGGGGCTAACTGAAGGCTCAATATGATCTGCCGATAATTGTTCATTCACTAATTGCTTTAAAGCAAGTAGCTTTTCTCCTGTTATGGGCCATTGTTCCACCCATACAGGAGTGGTAGATTTCCAGCTGAGGGGAAGTGCAAGCTTACTCATTAAATTGAATGGTAGCTTGTAATTGCTGTAGCAAGTCTCTTCCCCACAGATTGAGGTGGATTTTCAGCACACAGGGCTGGATGTAAGCAATGGTTTCAGAGCTATCAGGCAGAGACACAGGCAGCCACCGTACGCTTTTGGAAGAGGTTTGGGGGCCACCCACACCCCAGACAGCAGAGGCAGACTCAAGGGGCCACGTGGGGTCCCAGCAACTACTAGAAATTACAGAAACGTCTGCGCCTGTGTCAATCAAGCCTTCCAGCACAATACCATTGATTTTATACTTACGAAGAAGTTTCTTCTCACCAATCCTCTGGACTACAGCTAACAGCTGTGGAGGGAAAGAAGAGAGCTCGTGCAAATTAGTATCCATAATAGAAGCAGTAGGATGAGAAGGGAGCACCACCAAATGCGCCCAAGACTCACCCTTTTTAATTGCATGGGCATATGGCTCCAGAGTTGAACCATTATTGTGCCTACATAGTCAGGATCCAGAACTCCAGGAATAACCTGGATGCCTTCCTTTGCCGCAGAAAATTTGGGTAAAATTAAACCTGCGACTTTAGGAGGCAGGGGACCTGCCAATTGAGTGGGCATGAGCACAATTTCACCAGGTAGAACAGAATCTTTGGTCTCTTGATTGATCAAATCAATTGCAAATTCAGAGGGTGTGTTCTTTGAAAAGTTTGCAGCAGCAGAAATTAAAGGCGGAAAGCTCTCTAATTTTCCTGGCCCGAGAGTGGGGCCGCAATGGAGTTTCCCGAACTCCTGCATTGATTAGCCCAATGATAGCCTTTGCCACATTTCGGGCATTTTTTAGAAGGTCTAGCTTTAGAGGTAGAACCATCCTTGTGTGCCCCCCCGCCTGGGGCTCTGCATTGCTTGGCAAAGTGGCCTGGGCGCTTGCAATTAAAGCAGTTACCAGTAGGCTTAGTGGTTGCTTGGATTGCGCCGGCAAGCAAGGACATCGCATGGCTCTGGCTACCGACATCCGCACAAGCTTGAATCATATCGGCCAGTTCATATTTAGGGCGATGTATGATTGACTGCAAAGCTTTCTTGCAATCAGTGTTTGCGTTTTCAAAGGCCAATTTTTTCATCAATTCATTTTGAGCAGTGGTGTTATCAATCTGCCTAGTGACTGATTCTTTCAATCTATCTATAAACTGATGGTATGGCTCCGAATGCTGTTGCTTAATATTCACAAAGGAGCTCAGCGGTTGCCCAGAAACAGGGACTTTCCGAAAGGCGCGTTGTACACAGGTCGCGGTGCGAACAAAATGTACAGGTGTCAGTGTTGCTTGGGCAGTTATATCAGCAAACTGACCAGCACCATAAAGTTCATTGGCAGTATGTTGAGGATCAGACAGGGCTGAAGCGCTATGTTTAAATTCACTCTCAAACACCACATACTGAGCAGGGGACAAAAGCATGCGCATAAGGTCTTTCCAGTCCTGAGGCAGCATAATGTAACCAGTTGCTATGCCCTCTAGCATCCCTGTCACATAAGAGGATTTCAGACCAGAATCAGCAATGGCTTTCCTTAATTCCCTCATTACAGAATAAGGAAGCGATTCATAATAAATCTGCTGTTGAGCAGATCCAGGGTTTGAATAAGAGATAGGGAAAGCAGACGGCATTTCACCTGGCCACTCAGACTCCTCCTCTAAGGACAGGAGCCCTTTTGCCTTGCCAGAGAGAGCGCAGCACGCACAGCTCCTATAGAGCAAACAGGGGCTGTGGCAGGAGGAGGAGGGATGGGGGAGGAATCAGGCTGAGGCGGAGGGATGGGGGGGGAGGATGCAGGTTGAGGAGGGTGAGACGCAGGGAGGGATTGGCTGGGCTGCAAAGGAGAAGGAGGTAAAAGTTTCGGGTAAGGGGGGGGATTGTCTGCGATGGCGAAAAGTGCTGGTGGCGAGCGAGACGCCTGTGGTAATTTAGCAACGGCATCAGCACATTTCTGCCAAGTGAGCAGACAATGAATCGGAGCCCTAGGTTCTGCAAAAAGGGTCTTTCCGATCTTTTGCCAAGTCTCTACGTCCAAAGATCCAGCCTCTGGATAAAAATGCATTGGCAATTTATCTCACATAGCAATTGTTCAATTTCTTTTAAGGAAATATTAACACCCACCTCCCGCTGTCTAACTAAATAAAGCAACTCTTTAGCATGCTCTTTCTGGAGCTTAGTCAAGTCCCCTCCCATACTCACGAAGTAGCGCGCTGAGACTTTTCCAGTCGGGTGAAGTATGAGGTTTGGCTGCGTAAGGGATCTGGCACGTCGGGGTCACCAGATGTTGGGTTGAAATCACGACAGACGAATGGTGGGTGTCAAAGGAGAGGCGTCTGCCCGGGGCAAGTCCCGGGACTCTCTTTATTGAATATTACAAACATTGCCACAGGTGTGCTTGTGGCTGATTGGCTGATACAAACACAAAGCATCTTGTTGCTGATTGGTTAACATAGGTACAAGGCGGGCATTACATTTTTACATTAATCAGTGATAGTTCAAAAGACTGGGAGCGGAGCTGGAACTAGACAGGCATGAATCCTCCTAATTAAATTGTAACTAAGATTAATATAACATGACTAAAACAATTACTAATGATTGATCATAAGTGAAAGGTCCGTATATGTGGTCAGCTATGCATTGAGAACAGAGCATGTTGTGAACTCAGAATGAACTGAAGAATTGAGGGATTGTCTGGGTGTCCTGAGCTTGGTGTGTTTGGAACAGTATGTGCAGAGCAGAAGGAGACTTCCCAGAATCCAAGAGGAAAGAAGCAAGAGTTTTCATAGTAAGCATAGAAAGATTGCATAGTAAGAGTTCCCATAATGCCACAGTTATGTGCAGTAAGAGAACTGCAGAAAGAGAACTTCCCTTCACACCATCATATGGGGACTTCTGAAAAGCTCCTGAAGCCAGCCAGAGCCAACTGCTCCGGGCTGCTGAGACTGCTGCTTCTGCGTTTCCCAGGGATGTTAGATGAAATCCAGGGACATTCCAGGGATGGAATTTGTCTGGAGACTTATTCGCAAATGTGGGGACTGTCCCAGGGAAACGGGGATGTCTGGTAACCCTACTCTAGTCCCTATTTGATGCCAGCAGGGCAGTATCTTATCCCCGTTTTTGGGTGGTAACACTTAAGGTAACAGACCAATTCAGAAAATTAAGGGTAGGAATGGACACGTGTGCCTTTCAGCTCCACTTTGTGCATAATGTTCCATGTGACATGTAATGGAATGTGTATTCCATGTGGAATAATCAGCACACTCCAATTGACATGATTCCACACACCTCATGAACAGGTGTACTCACTCTTCCACTCCATGGGCCTCTAGCTGTTTATTGACTACAACTCCCATCATGCCTAGCTGCAGGACCAGTGGTCAGGGATGATGGGAGTTGTAATCCAGAAACAGCTGGAGACCCAAGTTTGGGAAATCCTGTTCTAGATCAATGACAACCAGATTCAGAGGTGGTGGTACTACCACAGCCGTCAGCCCCAACCAGCAAGTCCCATGGTCAGGAATGATGGCTGCTGTAGTCCATCAACATATGGAGGGCACCACATTGGACATGCCTGACCTAGATTCATTTCCATATTGCTTCATGTTGGAAGTTGGTACTGGAACTTAGTCATCCCTACACAACATCCCTACAGAGAGACAGGGGGAGGAGACAGTATGACCTGCTGATTTTTCTGGAACTCTCAGCATCTTTTTGATTCCATTGGCCATAGTCCTTCTGGATTAATGTAACTGGGGTTGCCAGCACTGCATTATGGTAGTTCTGCTTCTTCAACAGAATGGCTCTAATCTCCAGATTGTGTTTCTAAAAGTGCAGTCCTATGCATGCCTACTCGGAAGTAACTCCCATTGAGTGTACTTACTCCCAGGCAAGTGATCACTTAGGGCAGGATTCAACTAAGTTGTTGCATGAGTGGAACAAAGTCTGCTTGTGCAACAGGACTCCCCCCCTTTCCCAATGCCCCTTAAATCTGCTGGGGAGGGTTGGGGGAACCCCCAGAACAGGTTTAGGAGATTTGCAAGTGGGGTGTAAGAAGAGGAGAGTCCCATTGCATAAGTAGACCTCATTTCTCACTTGCATACCCAGCTTAGTGCAACTTTACAATAAAACAGAACCAAAAATGATTAAATAAAAATACAATTTATTTTCCTTCTTACAGTGGTCTGTAAAAAGCAACTTCCTCGATATATACTGTTCCTTTGCTTCTGATCTGATTCACTTTTGAATTTGTAGCCACCTGCATATCACTGCATTTATCTTATTTTCTGGTTTTCTCAACAATGATCATTCTTTATTCACCTTGTCCTGTAATTGCCTTTTTCCTGCATTCTGATTTATTGACACTGTTCAGGACTGGCAAAATGTGAGCTATTTATTGTCTATTGACTGGGCATTGTACAGTGCTATAGACATTTTAACTGCCTCACTGAGTATTGTGTTGCATCCACTTTTTACTGTTTCTTTGCACATTGATTGGGTGAGTCTCGCAACAGTGTTGGCTGCCATAGACATATCTCCTCTGCGAAGGCATCAGTGGGAGCTTCCCTTGAAATTCAAACCAACAACTAGGGATGGGCTGAGCAGCTACTTCAATCTCGTTTTAGTCTTGGTGGTGCTCAATCACTGATATGTTCTGTCCCATTTTGTGCACATTTTTTTTAAAAAAAGAATCCACTAATGGTCCACATTCAAATCATATGCATTTTGTATGCACTTTGTTACATAACAGATGCACTTTTTAATGTAAAATATACACTTTTCAATGCACTTCTATGCATTCGTCTGAATAAAACACATTTTGGATGCATTATTTTTTTTTTACATAAAATGTGTATTTTTGCACACACTTTCCCTGTACCAGAATTGCATTGCAACATCCAGAGGAGTGTGTAATCCAACTGGGTGTTGCCTTCTGATCTTCAAGTAAGTTTAAGAGTGGCAGATCCGAAAGAAAGAGGAAAAGTGTGTTAGATCAGGACACTCCACTGCAAAAAGCAGACCAAACAATTTCCTCTCCATCTCCAAAATAAACCTACCTTTGACTTTAATAAATAAAAAAATGAATGAATACAATATATGCCTCTGTCCCAGGCATAAGTGAGTGTTCTAACCTAGATTCCTTATGGGGTTAGAACTTCATGCCATGCCTAGGCCGAAAAGACAACGTATAACATACTACACCAGTGCATCCCTTCAGCAGCGTAGCTGCTCATCAGTGACTTTATATGCACCTTCTTCTTGGCTGTCTTCCTGGGACTGAAAAATAGAGATTGTTATCAGACACTTGGTAGACTTGCAAAAGAATGTCTGAAGGCCTGTGTTTCACTAGGCAGGGTTCACAAGTTGTGCAGGCCTTAAGGCACAAAGTATTTTCTTCTAGCAGGGCACCAAAATGGTTGCCCTGGAATCATTCCTTTCAGGGTGCTGCTGCTGCTGTTTCTTCACGCAAGCAAATGTGCTTTTATTTCCATTCTTCCCAATGCCCCTGCATTCTTATTGCTCGCTTCCATTGATTTATACTTTCCCAGCTGCTGCTTTTTGAACATATCTTGACAAAGCCTAAATAACAAATGAGTGACGGCGTTCTGGGAGCAAAAACTTCACCAGATGCTCTTCTGTAGATAGGCTGTGTATTTCCAACCATCTCCCTATTTCACATTGTTGATTTACCAGCAGTTGGCTCAGCGTATTACACCCCTAGGGAAGTGTACTCCTCCTCCCCCATCACTCCGTGCCTTTCTGTCTCTCTCTCTCTTTGTCTTCTCCAGAGTAATACAGTGCCCAAGGCACTTGTGTGCCGTTTAGATTTGTAAGCCTCAGCATAACATAATGAGATGGCAGGAAGTTTTATTTGGTGGTGTAAGGGAGTATTCTGTCAGAAGCGTGTCTTCGGGACGAGAATTTCTCTGCTTATCTTTCAGGCAAAATGCATGCATTTGTGATCAAGCATTTGTGAGAAAGTTTGGCACCCAGGGGCCAAACCCTTCTACCTGGTGCTGGAATTGTCCAATGCCCGCCTTCTCTCTTTCTCGAGTCACATCTTTGCCATAATTTTAAAGGGCATTCAAGGCACACTGTTTCCCCCCGAAGGATCCTGGGAAATGTGGTTTGTTAAGGGCACTTAGACTTTGCATAAAGCACTTCCTATTTTGGGGGAAATATTGGGGGTCAATACCCAATACCCTGTAGGTATAGGGAATGGGTGGCGCTGTGGTCTAAACCATTGAGCCTCTTGGGCTTGCTGATTGGAAGGTCAGCAGTTCGAATCCGTTCGAGGGGTTCAGCACCCTGTGCTCTGTCCCAGCTTCTGCCAACCTAGCAGTTCAAATCAAATCAAATCAAATACCTTTATTGGCATCACAGTATAAAACATTTAGAGTCACTGGGATAATTAAAAGGACAAGGGTGAAGCTGTTGAGGGTCATAAGGTCACACTGTGATCATGTGCATTTAGATATTCTGTTTCGCC